TGTCCTGCTGAGTTACGAAAGATGCTTGCTTGCTCTCAAAGCTATTTAGAAGTTTGTAACCAGTGCTGAAGCTGTCTGTGCCCTAGGGCTGGTTGCTATGGACCAATACTTTTGTAAAATACAGTAAGAAAGAATTTCTAGAAAAATGAAATCAAAGGACACAAAAGCATGAGGTTTTTGTTTTTGTTTTTCCCCTCTGTTTTATGAGGGGGAGGTAATTAGGTTTATTTATATTTGGAGGAGGTACCGAGGATTGAACTCAGGACCTTGGGCATGCTAAGCATGTGCTCTGCCACATGAGCTATACCCTCCCCGCAAGCATGAAGTTTTTATTATAAATTTAATGTATAAAGTGACTGTCAAACAGCTGTCGAAGTTTCTAAGTGCTCATTCTGTGCTTTGTCTTGGACCAGTGGCAAATAGTTGCCAGACAGGCAAGATCTGCAGACCACTTTTGGAGTAGCATTGCTGTTACCATGTAGCAACATGATTATGTGTTATAATGGGGTTGTTCTTACCTCTGGTCGTCCCCTTTTATTCTCCTAATTTGCAGTGGTTGAAACTGACAACTGGGCTTCTGTCTAGAAGCTTCCCTGACTGGAAGCAATAGTTACAACACCTTTCAGCGCAGCCACCGCCCCCTCCCCCGAAGCTTCTCACTTGTGTGGTACAGTCCTTTGTAGCATGAGGCTTATGTGCAGTCCTGCCATCTTTCTGGCCAGTGCTCTTGGGATGGACTGCATGTGCCTTTTGTTATAGGGAAATTCTGCCATGAGATAGGCTGAGGAAAGAGGAATTACATGGGTGGTCATACTGGGAAGGAGGTGGTCTGATGCCCTGGGCTCTGACGTGTCCTTATGTAATTGCTATAGTAAGGCTCAGCTGGCACTGTTCCTTCTGCCCCCTCTGCTGCTGTCTTTGCTCAGCCAATCAAGAAATCTTTCTTGAAATCTCTAGGACCAAGTTTGGTCACTTTGTTTATTTAGTTCACAGACCGTCATCAAGGCTAGTTGCCAAAGCTCTTTGACAAAAATACAAGTAGGAAGCATTAGTCACAGTTACTGCTGGGAGCAAATAATGCAATAATAGCAAACACATTCTGCCTACCCCTTCCAGATACTGTTAAGCACTTTGTATGATCAGCACTTTATCACAACAATCCCTTTGAAGGAGGTAGTCTCATTCCCATTTTACAGATGTTGAAACAGGTTAGGCAATTCGGCCGAATTCACATAAATAGCAAGCAGTAGAACCAGGAGTTGAGATTATGCCTTGTGATTCCAAAGCACGGATTCTTTCTCCGTGTCAAAGAAAGGAAAAATGTGAGCTTTTATCAAGGTCCTACTTCGTCATTTAGTCTTTGTTACGGGCTGAATTGTGTCCCCCAAATTCGTATGTGGAGGCCCTGTTCTCCTGTACTTCAGAATGTGAGTGCATAAGGTCTTTAAAAAGGTAATTAAGTTAAAACGAGGTCTTTAGGGTAGACTAATTCAATATGACTGGTGTCCTAAGAAGAGGAAATTTGGACACCAGACCCGCATGTGCTCAGAAGACAGACCAGGTGGGAGAAGGACACACAGAGAAAGCAGCCATCTGCAGGCCAGGGAGAGAGACCGCAGAAGAAACCAAACCTGCTGATGCTGATCTTGGACTTCCAGACTTCAGAACTGAAAAAATAAATTTCTGTTGTGTAAGCCACCCAGTCTGTGGTATTTTGTTACGGTTGCCCGAGCAAACTAATACAGTCTTCCAACAACCCAGCCAGGTTAGTAGCATTTTCTTATAGGTCAGGCTGTATGAGTTGCCTACGGTAACATGATCCGAAGCCCATGGTCTGCTGCTGAGCTGCTGCTGCTGCTTCTGTGACCCCAGACGGCGCTTTATATACCGAAAAGCGCTGGAGAGAAGCTGGAAATGAAACCAACAAACACACTGGCTGGCTGGCTTGCAGTTCTGATGCCCCACACATCTCCAGCCTCACCGTGATTCCAACAAAAGGGACTGCAGTGCTGAATGGTCCTTGCCAGGATGTAAGAAACTGACATGTGCTTCCAACATCAATGACTGTAGGTTGAGTACATTTGGAAACAAAGAAGCAAGGTATCTGGAGCATTCAAGAGTAAGTGCTTTTAAGCTATTCTCTCCCAAGGAGAAGCCAGGTTTTTAAATCAACAAGTAGAATCCCAGATGTGGCATGACTGGCCGCTCTTGGGTCACATGGCAGATCACGTAGTTCAATTTTGTGCCCTTTTAAAATGCTCCATCAAAGCCTGTGTGAATTCCTGTCTCAAAAACAATAGGCATGTGGTTAAGGCCGGCAGTGATAGAGGCTAGCTTGAATTATTTATTCTGGGCGAGCTCCAGAGACAAGTGCACGGGTTTTTGCTCTACGCCAGAAACAGCTAGTGTAGAGAAGAAATACAATTATCGTCAAACAGTGAATTACTGCTGCTTCCAGGGTCCTGTTCTTTGTACAAGTAACCTAGGGGCGACTCAGGGACCACACAGATGTGCTTATTGAAAAGAACTTAAGGTTAAGACTCAAGTGTGTCTTGCTGAGAACTTTTGACTTTTGGAGAAGCACAAAATCACAATAAATTGCAGTTTTGGGGAAAAAGCAATGCATCATGTTGCCAGGAGTTTTGCCTCCAGGGCCCCACTCCTCCAAAAGCACCAGCTTTCTCTGACACCTTTTCTAAACATTAGTTGCCTTTCTTACCTGTGAAATGTGTACCATTTCCTAAAGGTCCTTTGAGCTCAAAAGACTTTCTTACCCAGGGAGGCAAGAAGTTTGAAAACTGCCTCTTCGTCTTCCTCCGTTGAAAGTCTTGGTGTTTCTTCCTTTGAGCAGCCTTAATTTAGAGAAGGTCCTAGTTGCTGGCTGGGTACATTACTTTCCTCACTCCAGGAAAGGGATTTTATAAAGAGAAATTCCAACTTACAAGGGTGACTGGTTCATTTTTCCTGGAAGTCCTTCCTTGTGTCTAATTCAAGTTCTAGCAGATGCAAGACCAAGACTTGTTAGTGACATGGTTACTGAGGCTGGTGCAAGAATTTAAGAATGGCACAGGATTTCTTCTATAGCTCTTGAAGGCAGGATGGGCTTTTAGAAAACCTTTGGTTTAGAAAGCAAACTTGTTCAGTTTTCTTTCTGTCCCTGCTAAACCTCCAGTCCTGAATGTTTTCGTCCTTTTTGCTCTTCCTACTCTTCCCCCACCCCCCAGTAAGAGAGTTTGGGCAGAAGAAGCAAGAAAATAAACTCCTAAGTCCCCAGTCTGTCATCTGTGGTGGAAATGCCCTTTCAGCTAGGCAAGGGCTGCAGTTTTCTGCAGGGACAGCTGACTGGTAGATGAGGATTCCCTATGTCAGCCAAAGTTTGCGTTTTCCTGGGCTCTGCATTCACCATATGGCTTTTACATCAGTGATTTGGAACACTGCCTTTGGTGTAGAACGGAGCTGTTCTAGTCCTACCTTCACCTCTTACAAGTTGTGAAAGCTTAAGCCAGATCCTTGTGCCTCATTCTCCTTGTTTGTAAAGTGGAAAGAATCATGCCTACCTTATATGGTTGTTCGGAGGAGCTAATGCATATAAAGTACTAAGCACAGTACCCAGCGCAGTGCTCAGTAAACTTTCGCTGCTATTAGTTATTGTTATGGACACTCAGAATGGAGCATTCCTCTTCCCTTTCCTCCACTTTCCTGCCCTGCCCTGCCCATCTGGAACAGCTCAGGATGGGGAATGTCAGCAGTTTCCCCAAAGAATCATCTCGGGGTTAGTCCTGGAGATTTGGGTCCCTAACTGGATTTTATTCAGAAACAAAATACAATCTCCTGAAACTATGGTTAAATGAAAAATGCCTTCAGCTAAGAATCAGTTGGACTGGGGTTCTGACCAGCCACTCATCGACCATGTGATCTTGGGAAGTCGCTTGACTGCTGCATCTTGATTCCATCTGTCAGGAGAGCGTTTGGACTGTCATCAGATGCTCTCAAAAGCTCCTTCCAGTTCTGAAATACTGTGGTTTTTCTGGGCCCAGGGAGCCATCTTCACACCACTGTCCCCATTGTATCTTTGTTTCTTCCAATTGTTGTTCACTGGTTCTTCTTAACTCTCCCAGAAGGAAACTCACTTTATCAGAGAATAATAATTGCAACACTTGCGTGGGATTTGATGGGGGACAAAGAGCCTGTGTAGCGTAAATGAAAAGGAATGAAGTGTGAAACAAAGTCAGAAGGAAATTTTTTTTGTTAACTGAGAAGTATTGAGCGTCCCAGAAAGTGTACTGGGTGAACTGACCTCCAACAAGCACCAATCCTGAATGAGAGTCATCCTTGTTCTACAAATTCCACCTTAGAGTGTAGTCCTAATGACTGTGTAAGAATTCTTGCAACAGCCTGTGGCAAACTGCATTGCTTTGGAGAGTAGACTCTTCAGTACTTACTATGTTGACTTTATGCCAAGAGAGATAGTGACACTGGGAAAACTGGAGGCAGAACACTTGACTACTGCAAATCGGCTACTGCACTTGCAGGAGAATTACTCAGTTTCTTTTAGCCTCCGTTTCTTTCTCTGTAAGACGGCAATGATAATAATCCTCATCTCAGGATCTCATGTCGAGTGCTGCGAGCACCAAGTGGAATTGTTTCTACTGGGGAGAAGCAAACTTCAGTTTTTGTAAATCTGACTTATTTGGGAGTACAGGTGAGGCAAATAGCAACTTCACTTCTGGGCCCTTTGTCAGTCAGGGGACTGCACGTTATCCGTGAGAAACAGCTGTAGATTTTTAAGAGCTTCAAGCATCATTCCAGTTTTCCCAGAGCTCCTCGGGGTTTACCTCTTATTTGAATTGTCGTGGGTCTGAAGATGGACCGGCAGCTGTTTGCAGGTGAAAATGCATTGTCGCCTCTGTGGGCATTTCCTGGATGCTGTACACAGAGCTGCCTCCAAGCAGCACAAACAAGGTAGGATCCTTTGATGGACAATGAGAGTTTAAATATTTTATGTATCTTATTTCCCAGTTATACTTAAGAGTTCAATAAGCCCAGTAGTAGGAAGCTAAATTGCAGGTCTGGCAAAGGATTGAAGAGAAAAACCTAAAGTAAGAGGGTTTAAAAAAGAACTCCTTGCTCAATTTGGGAGCTTGGCTTACTTTTCTTGATACTCTGCGACCATCTGGCTTGGATTTTCCTCAGGCAAAAATAACTCCATGCTGATTTTGAAGTATTGGCTTATCTTTGATGCCTTTGTAGGCTCATCCAGCTACTTCTGAATAAATGGCCCACCATAAATATGTGTTCGTGCTCAGTGTAGGATAGCTGATTCAAGAAATGTAAGCAGAATCAGCAAACTCTCCCCCAAAGGAGGTCTTATCCACTGAAAAAACGTTTTCCCAAGCTAGCCCAAGAGTCTAAACTTTGGGGTAGGAGAGGAGTGGCAGATGGGATGGGGTCTGGGCTGCAGGGTATACTGGTGGGTTTTCTCGGCAAGTTTGCTCTTGGATCTACAGTTTAGAGTATGTGAGAAAGTGACATTCTCACACTGGTCCCTGGCCATGGAGGAAATCTTGTCCAGTGAGAAGCTGAGACATGTCAGTCCTTGACTATCTCATCAGCAAGTCCAGGGGGGCTAGTGAAGGGACTGATGGGGTCCTCTGCCGTTTTCTTGCCTTTTGGTCCTTTGAACATCTCTTTTCCTCGGTTTCCCCTGCCCAGGCAAATTGGGAACCGTACCTACACAGTCGTCTGAGCTAGAGCCGGCCTCTAGGTGGCGCCTCAGCACAGAGAATGGCAGTGGCTGGCGTCACCTCGGGCCACCATTTCCCTGTATATTCCTTATATAAGGGGATTCGTGGCACTCGGGCTTCTCGGACTGCACAATAGAGGGAGATCTGGCCTTTGTCACGTTCAAGTTACAACCCTGGAGAGATCGGGGGAGGCGCGGGGCCGCAAAAGCGCCTAGTCCCACGCAGTATAACACGGGCTGAGGTTCCCGCCTCGGCAGAGCCCAGAGTAGCTGGCCGGGGCACCAGGGTTTGGGCTCGGCTGCTGGCAGAGTGAGCCTAGAGCTTCAGGCTTTGTTCCCTCGCGTCCAGGAGGGCTCGCCCAGGCTCCCAGCCCCAGACGGAGCACTAGCAAGGCCAGCCGCCTGCCACGGTCTCTAGGCATAGCCGACAGTTCCTGGGTGACAGACCTCCCTCCCCTCCCCCCACACCTCTTTCTCACCCTCTGCTGTTTACAAAGCACTTTCCCCCGTGTGATCTCATTTGCTGCTCACAAACTCCCTGGGAGGAGGGAGAGGGTGGGGTCCTCCCCGGGGCTCTGGAGCCTTAAGAGGACTGAGAGAGTGCCTCATAAAGCTCCCTTTCCCCCTCTGCCTCGACCACCAAATAGGGAGTTCCTTTGGGGCAACTCCTGAATTCAGCTTAGTGGTTTCAGGGTTTAGCATGTGGTGCTCGGCACAGAGAGGTGCTTAAAACTGTTTACTGAATGAACAAATATTTACAGATGGAAGAAACTAAATCAAGGACTGTAGGTGGTAGAGTCCAGTCTAGAGGTTAGGACTCCAGGCTTCTAGGACCAGAAATATTGCCACACTGGATACTAATTACATTATGTGATTTTCCAGTCAGAAATATGGTTTGCTATTACAGGGACCCATGCAGATCTATCTGATACTCAAGAACATGAGCACTGTAATGTGGGTCAGGCACTGGGGCACCAGGCTGCTGTCTGTCAGGGGGACACCAGGAGATGGTGGGTCTGGGGGAGCAGCTGACCTTTTTGAGGCCTTCCTTAAAAGTGTGAGGGGATGCTAGGCACTCTGAGCTTCCCAGCTATCAAGACCTTTTTATCTTTAACTCATAGAATATCTTGGGATCAAAAGCTCCATCCAGTTGTTATTCACCCCACCCCATTCCAATCCATGAATTAGCACTTTCTTGGTTGTGTAAATGTACCTGCTTCAGACAGCTTAGGACTCTGCAATGAGACTACATAAATTCAAATCCCAACTCCACCACCTCCAAGCTGCCAGCCTGGGGCAAGTCCTTTAACCTCTTTGTATCTCTATTTCTCCTATTTTGAATGATGATAATAAGATATTTAATTCCTAGCATTATTGTAGGGATTTAGAGAGTTAGTATATATAAAACAATTTAAACAGTCGCTGGTAATAATGAAAGGCTAGGAGGTGTTCTGCTGATCTCAATTGTATTCTGGATTCGAGACTGGTTAGTGTTCACCGTATGGGGGCTTTACATGATTTTGTAGAATTCCCTGGAAATCCTGTATTCTAGCTGCCAGGCTCTCAATTTTCTCCCACTCAGTTACAGCTCTTTTGCTATCTAAGGAAGAAAGTAACCTGAAATGCATTTTTCTGCAGATCAGAGCAGTGACATTATCTTTGTCCCCTCAGAGCCTCCCTGGTGGCTCTCGCTGCAGTTTAAGGGCTTTCTTCTCTATAGTAGTGCTCACCACATAGCACATAGTAGGTGTTTAACCAGTGCTTATTGGCAGAAGGAAAGGAAGGAAGATATCATACAAAGAATAACATTAGTACTGAGTAGTTTATATGGACAAGGTCCCTATGGAATTCGTACTTGTCCCCTAAGACCTACTGACGAAGCATGAAAATCACCAAGGAAATGTGATCAGCTTGGAGGAGGAGGAGGGGAGGAGGAGAGAGAAGAAACTGGAGCAGCCTGCTATCTGAAGATAACAGTTTTTCCACTGCACACGGCTCCGTTGATGATGGTTCCATTGGTTCAGGCCAAGTTGAAAACCTTGCTGCTGCTCAGGGACATCGAAGCCATCTCCAATTGCTCTCTGCCCCAGAGATTCATCTTTCTTGGGGTAGTTTGTCATTTGTTTTGTAGCCTCTCAGATGCTTTTCTTTATGGCCAGAGACCAGCCAACTCACCAGACACTCCTGTGAGTTTTGGCAAGAGAAAGAGATGGGAGGTGGACCGTGCTCCAGGACAGTTCGTAGTTGAAGCCTTTCTGACCTTGGCTGTCTTATTCCAATTCTTATGCCAAATTAGACTTCTGATAGAGCCTTACCCCAGACCAGGTCCTCCAGCCTGAGAGACTTGGAGTAGATAGAATGTAACGAGAAACTACTCTAGTTTAAGGTTCCATAAAGGAGTTGAAATCGAAACTCAACGGAGCTTTTCTACTAAACACATTAGCTATTTTATCAACTAGGTCATTGATGGTAAGTAGGACTGTCTCGACTGGCATGCCAATTTTGACTGATGGATAATAGCTGCCTGGGGAATCGTGTTGAGAAGGATTCTGAATCTACATCATCATATCTGGGGCTTAGGAGAAGGTGCTGTGATCTATCAACAATGTCTGTCACAGATGCAGGAAAGGGGAGTAACCCCAAGAGGCAGATTTGTACCTGCTAAGGTTGCTAATGAGAAGAGGAGGCTGTTTGTTTGGAAGCTGGGAAAACAAAAATGGTTGAATGGTCCACCTATGCTCATGTAAGTAAATCAAGATGGACCTGGACCAATTCAACTTTGAGGGAAATGTGGTACCAGCTCAAGAAGGAAGGCAAATACGGAATAAGGGTGGAGACAGAGTAGTGTTCTGGTTCCATGTCTCTGTAGAATCTTGACAGTGTTCACAAACAGGTGGAGAGAGAGCAGGCACGACAACCATAGGTGGTGGTTCTGAGCTGGAGTTCAAGACCTGGGCAGGTCCCAGAATAGAGAGTCAAGCCATTGATAAGCAGATGGAAGAGCACAGACTGTTTCCCAAACTGAGTTCCGTGGATCACTTAGGATACATGAGATGTTACCTGTATGTATTTTGCCATGAAAAATAGGCAGGGGTGGGGAGTGGGAGATTTGTGGTATTCAAGTTTGGGAAAAACCCTGTCAAAAATATTCTGGAAAGTTAACTGTAGCCCAGGGTGGCTCTTGGCCAAAGGAAATAATGGAAGAGAAATGAAATAAGCTATACGAGCAAATACGTGGGCTGTTTTAGGCTTTAAAAGGCCTCAGGTGACAGGTTGAGGAGTTAGGGGTTGATTGGTAGATGTGGAGGATTGTGGGCTGGAGATGTAATGCAGTCGGAGTTGGGGTTAGGAAAACAGCTGTTGATGCCATGAAGGAAAGATTGAAGAGAGGAGAGATGGAAGGCCAGAGGATTAGCTGGGAAGCTCTTATGTGGTCCGAACAAGAGGTATTAACAGCCTAAACGAGGGCAGCAGCAATGGGAATGGAAAGAAAGGGCCGAGGTCAGGAGCCATCTCACCAGTAGTATTGCTGGGACCAGGCTGACTTCAAGCAGCACTCAAGGTCGTGAAGGTTGTGCTGAAGGGCACCAACCAGCCCTGCTCTACAGCTCTCGGAACAAAGCCAGCAGGGTGGGAGGCGGTTTGCTGAGATGGAGTGTTTGCTTAGACAGAAAGTGTAACTCCTCACCTCTGGGGATGATTAAACCCTGCAAGAGCGCCAGGGGCACTAGCACTGTTCTGCTGTCTTGCGGGCCAGCGGCCATCTGCCCGGGCCCCTAAGGCCCAAGACCGCTCCAAGTCGTGTTTGCTCTATGACTCTTTGATTAATTGAACAGTGAATATCGGAGTGGGGCTTAGAACTTACCTAGTTAGTGGCTTTCCAACTTGACTGAACATCAGGGTTCTCCAAGGAGCTCATTAAAATGCAGGTTCTCAGTCTCCCTTTCCAGACTTGATTCAGTTGCCAGAGCCTGGGAATCTGTACTTTGTGATGTCCTGCAGTGATTCGAATGTGTAGTCACATTAGGAATTATTCAGTCTCATCACTCTGTTTGTAGGTGAGCAAACTAGGCCCAGATTGGAGCAAGGACTTGTGCAAGGCCCAGGGCCCTCACACCAGGGCACAAGTTAGTGGCAGGGCTGGACTCGGACTCCAAGCCTGGGGCTCATCCAGAGTATCATGGGCTAATACTTGGCTCCATTAGTTGTCTCTAGGCTGAGGGTTACACAGTGATGAAAAGTTTCAGAAACCTCTTCCTATCACCTCCCTGCACTGTGAGCTCCTCTAGGAGATGTTACTTGAGTCTAGGATGTACACAGAAGAAAGCTGAGGGCAAAAATAATAACAATAATAGTAGCTAACATTTACTGTATGCCAGGCATTGCTCTAAGCACTTTACTTATAAAATTCTTTTAACAAATTCCCATTTTACAGAAGAGGAAATTGAGGCACAGTGAGGTTAAAGGGCAAGGAGCAGCTTTCATCACGTCTGTTCATGTGACTTTGCCTTTGCTTTAGGGCACTCTGAGCCTCCACTTCTTTTGTTCCATATGCTCGGAGCTGGCCCCTTCCCCTCCCTACTTGCCCTGAGGGAGCTATTCAGCACACTGCTGGGGAAGTTTGGCTGCAGCCTCACCCTCAGTGCCAGGCTCTGCTATGGGCCTCCCGTTACTGAGGGGCTGTAGCCAGAGAGCCAAGCCATCAGGACTGTTTAGGCAGCTGGCCGCATGCCCTGGCCACCAGCCCTGCCAGGCAGCCTGGAGGGGGCCTGCAGGTCAGCTGGGCGAGCAGTGGAGAGAGGCTGCTTCTCCTGCCAGCCCCAATTTGCACTAGAGGGACAGGCGTTTTGAGGGAATTAATTCATTGCTGAGGGAGGAGGGGGCACATTCTTGGCCGGAGCAGGGTGTAGAGTTGTGTGTGGTGCTTTCAATAAGCTTTTATTGCAGCTGAAGCACATGTCGCATCTCCTCAGAGCTGCTGCTGAAACACTGCTAATTCTGTTACTCAAGACCCTGTGTTAGGACTCACTTGATGAGAGTTCCTTTTGGGCTTGGTGAACGAAGTTCATCTTGTTTGGAAGTTGGGAAAACAAAGATGGTTAAATGGTCGACTGTGCTCATTTATGTGAATCCAGGTGGACCTGGTTGGTCCTGGTTGTGAGTTATGTTGGTTGTGTTTTTAGTTTTGCAGTGGCTGCCGGGAAGCTCTGGTTTCTATTCATTGCTTAAGTGAACACTGAATCTGATTTTGAGTTCTCCGTAAAATTAGCTTTCCCTTTCCTAGTTTTTCCTCCAGTTTCAATAGTTATTAATCTCTGAATCAGTTTTAATTTACCGTATTTCTAGCTGCAATATATGAAAGTATCCATTTCATTGCCTCTTATCTGTTAATGTGACATTTTTAATAGGCTGTTTTTGGTTGCTATTTAAATTTTTATATCTTTGTTGAGCATTTTTTCCATGGTAAGTTATTCTTTCCTATAAACTTTTGAACTTATGTTCTGTCCTCATTAATCTAGGTTATGTTAGTGCTTACTTATTGTCTGTATGATTTCCTTAAATATTAAAATGATTTATTTTTGTGTTGTAAAAAAAATAGTTTTTAAACTGCCCAATAGTATGTGTGCTTTTATTTTAAGCTGCCTCAACTAGTTTAACAAAAATAAGCAGGGCAGAAAATGAAAGAATTAATTTAATTTCTTGTTTTTGTACTACAGTGAGGATTTATGGAGCAGTATTTTTGACATTCCACTTTATCTGCTCTTGGTTTCTGGCGATAAGAATAATAGCATTTATTGAGTGGTTATTATTTACTAGACACTATTCTTTACACGTATTAACTTATTTCATAGCATTATTATGAGGAAGGTATTACTGTTACCCCCTTTTTACAGATAAGAAAACTGAGGCACATATTAAAGAAACTGCAGTGCTCACACAGCTAGCAAATGGTAGAGGCCAGATTCAAACATGAGGCTGATCCAACAGTGATTCTTAACAAGGGACCATTTTACCTACCAGGGGACATAGGAAATGTCTGGAGATATTTCTGGTTGTCACAACTGGGGAGTTGCACCCTACTATGCAGTAAGTAGAGGCCAGGGAAACTGCTAAACATCGTACAGTGTGCAGGGCAAAGAATGATCTGACTCAGATGTCAGCAGTGCTAAGGCTGGGAAACCCCATGTAGACCAACCATCACATCATCTCCTTGGGATTCCTGAAAGCTCTGTAGCCTGCTTTCCCATCCTCTATCTGCCTGTACAACTGAGATGCCTCAGAATGGGGTGGGCAACTGTGTCCACAGTGGCACACCCTGTGTAGGGGAGTGCAGGCATTCCATGTGACACATCCTGGCGCTCGGGGAGCCTAGAAGATAGAAACCTCATGGGGAAAGAGTGCTGATGGCAGGAAGCAGAAAGCAGGAAGCCTTCAGGTCCATTGTCATTGTCCGTCCCAAGAAGGGCTAGGGCTGTGGAAGGAGCTTATGGGCTTGTTTCCTTAGGGAGCAGTGCCCTCTCCCCTGACAAGAACCAGCCAGAAAGCCCCAGGTTACTGAAGCCCCAAACAGTGCGCTTCACACACAGCACACCTGCCCCTTCCTCTGTCCCGGCGCCCCAGGCACTAACCCCATATCTTGCCCGGTCTAGGACTCTTACCCGCTCCACCTCATCTAGTTACTGACCCAGCCGCCACTAGAAGCTCCCTGGGGTGGGGTGAGTCATGCTTCCCCTGGACCCTCGCACTAGCCCACCGTAGTCCCCTTGTCGGAAAGTCTCAGGTTCAGCCTTCCAGAGGACGCTGCAGGAAGAATGCTCCTAATCCTGGCAGCTCAGGCACCACTGTTGGAAGGTGGTGCTGTTGTGGAAGGAACACTGCACAAGGAGCTGGCAGACCTGGGCTGGTGGATTTGTCTGTTCGGGAGCCCTGAGTGGGGCTCAGTGCAGGGCCAACTTACATTTGTTACCTCCGCGGCGCCTGGCACGGGGCTTTGCATGGGGCTGGCTGTCAACACAAATTTGTTGGGTGGCATAAACGCTTCACTGCTTGGCTCTGCTCTCCGATCTGGACGGGTGGAAGCCACCTCCACAGATGGACCCAGGTGGCGGCAGCAGCCTGCTTCCATGGCAGAGATGTGGGAATGATGTCGATCCACATAGGGTACACGACTGGGGGGCCTACCGGCCTCCTCGTGCCTGCTGTGCAGGCACCTGGACTCGGTGGTGAGTCCTGCCCTTGCCTGAGGGCTTGTCTCAGCCCACCCCATGTCGCCTCCCAACCTCACACACCTGAGCTAGAGGAACTCTGAGGTGAGCAGCTATTCATAAATTAAACTGAGACTCATGAGGGGCCTACTCTGTGCCAAATACTGGGCCAAGTGTTACAGACACAGCGATGAATAAGAAAGACATGGTCCCTGACTAGTGGGGAATGAATATTAGTGGGATGTGGGTCGCGAAGGAAGTACAGGGGAGTCTGTTACTATTTATTACTGATATATGGAAATGCTGGAAATTCAATGGATACAAATGTTCATCTCAGAAGCCACGTAAGCGTCGCATTCCTCTACACTGAAGGCAAAGGTGGCCTATGCGTGCATGGCCTGATTCAATGGTGACTGCAAATGTCTGGCCCCAGGGTCTATTATGATGTAGTTGAAAGAGTGCAGGAATTTTGAAAAGATCTGGTTTTGAATCCTGTCTCTTTCTCTTCTGGTATGTTAGGGAAGGTTTTCGAGGCAATCTCCCTCTCTGTAAAATTAGAATAATAATAATCATTCCCAGCATTCCAGGGGGTAACCCCTGAATGAATAAAGGTGCTCCCTGATTACTAAACTCAGCTTTGGGACAACCCTTCTCTTCTGTGGCCAGAAATTCCTACAACCAGAGTGAGGTTAGGCCACAGGGCAAGGCCGTGTCCCAAGAGGCAGTGATTAAAAGTCCACATTAGCTGAGGAAGGAGCGAAGGCAGGGCCTGGTCGTCTCCCCGAAGGGCAAGCTTGTAGACCCGCCTTCAGCACCTTACTCCAGGTTTCCCAGGTGGTGGGGATCGGGCTGGTGACCTGGGGCCTGGATCATCATCTCTAATTCTACTGTGTAGTGTTGATTTTCATGTGTTTGGGGAAAATACAAGCAACACAGCAAACACATGATTTTATGAATTTTTTTTAAATTAAAAAAATGCATTGATTTAAAGAACTAGGTAAATAATCACCCAGTTGGCACAATGATACAACAAAAATCATGAAGGTGGCTCACAAATGACTCAAGTATGGGAAATATTGATCTCATAAGCCACTTCACATTAGTGCTGAAAAAACTGAGGTCCAAAAGGGTGAAATTTAAGGTTGGCAAGATGCAGACCTTAGTAGGGGCTAGGACTGAATCTTCTAGAGCCCAGGGTGGTGATTTTCTCAGTCGCCCACCTCCACCCTTGAGCTCCCTGCATCCGAAGGCATTTTGATTAGGCTCTTTTGTTTTTAAATAACAGCTATATTGATATAGAGAGAACTCACATACCAAAAACTCACCCTTTTAAAGTGTGCAATTCAGTGGGTCTTAGTATATTCACAGTGTTGGGCAGCCAACAGTGCAATCAATTCTAGACCATTTATCACCACCAGTATCAGCGTCATATCCATCAGTAATCACCCTCCCACCTCAGGCCCCTGGCAACAACTAATCTACTTTCTATCTCCATAAATTTACCTGTTCTGGACATTTCACATAAGTAGGATACAGATGTGGTCTTTTGTGCTGCTTCTTTCACTTAGTATATGTTTGCAGAGTTCACTCATGTTGTAGCAGTACTGCATTCCTTTGTGTGGCTGAGCAATACTCCATTGTATGGATCTATCACGTTTCGGTTACTCCTTTATTAGTTCGTGGACATTTGAGTCGTTGCTACATTTTGGTTATCATGAAGAATGCTGCTGTGAACACTGGTGTCCAAGTCTTTGCATGGATGTGTGTTATCATTTTTCTTGGATATATACCTAGATGTGAAATTCCTGAGTCATGTGATATGATTGGGGTTCTTGATTGTAAACAACAGAAACTGCCCTTGCCCCCTTTTAAAACAAAGAAGAAATTAGCAAGCTCATGAAGACTTCCAGGGTCCACAGAGAGAGGCTGAAGGCCTTGCCTGGAAAATGGGTAGGTCAGTGAGCAGGGCCACCCCATGGACAAGCTCTTGCCTACACCTCATTGCAGCCTGTCCTTCTGGCTCTCACTCAAGACTCAGAGTCCAGGAGAGAGCTTCCAATTGGTCAAGATTTATGTATCCACTCCTGCTCCCCCCACCAGCTCTGGGTCGTGGAGAGGAATGATCTGATCACTCCAGCCCCCATAGCACAGGGGAGGTATGACACAGTGGCCAATTTCCCCCAAAGGGAAATTAAGGCAATAATATGAAATTACAGTTGGAGAGAATGGTGGACACCCAAAACAAGACAGTCATTGACTACAACGTGGCCAGATTATGAGGGAAAGGCCAGGCCTGCTGGAGTAGCAGAACCTAGTAAAGCTGGGACGGGAAACACAAGAGATGCAGAGGTGGGAGAAGGTAAGGAGAGCAGGTGAGAGGGGCTCAGCTGTAGGATGGCCTGCAGTTTACTTGGCCCCATGTATGGCAAAGTTGCCATACACCTGGAGAACTTGGCAGTCATTGAGTAGCGACTGGTCCAAGAAAAATGAGGAGGCTTATAAAGCTAACCTGAACTCAACCTATAACTGGAACCAGATTCAGTGGGTCCCAGGAGAACCACAGCTGATCGTATAGTGAGTGAAATGAGTGTATGAATGACTTTGGAGTCCAACAGACCTAGTTTGAATTCTAGCTTATTAATTCTATCATCTTGTACCTAATGTCTCTGTGTCTGTTTCCACGCTGGTAAAATGGGGGTAACGCCTACCTTATGGAGTGTCATGAGGGTGAACATGTTTAGCTGCAGAGCCTCTCCCACGGCAGGGCTTAGCAGATGTTGGCTTCCCAGGAAGCACCCATTCCCATTCTCTCACACAGTCCCGATTTTTATGTAGGTTTCACACCCATCCCTCTGTGCTTCCTGGGAAGCTGATCTCACCCTGAACTTTGGAGCTGGTCTGGATTGGTGCAGGGCAATCCCAACCCTCTTGTCACCATGAGATTGGCTTTGCAACTCAGGCATGCGCTGGTCAGCAGAGGGCACAGGTCCAACCCAAACCACGTGCACAGGCATGGGCTTGTGGATCAGTCAGGTTTTTAGCTGCAATAACAGAAGCTGATTCTGGGTGATTCAGCACTTTAAAAGTTTTTTCAAAGGACGGTGGATGGCTCACAAGATCATAAGGAGAGCTGAAGAGCCAGGCTCCAGGCCAAGCTGGCCCAAACTACTCTACAGTTCAGAGCCTACAAGAAAACTGCTGCTACCCCCAAGCTCTGGATGTGGGAGCCAAAGGCTGTACCCTGGCTGCTTCTGTGCCGGGAGCTCGACTTTACTGCGACCACTGATGCCTCCACTGTGGGAGGGGGGAGGAGGGAGGGGGAGGAAGAGGGAGGAGAGGGGAAGGAGGAGAAGCATGCTTTGTACTTTTCTTCTTCTATCACCAACTGGAGTAAAAGTCCCATGTCTGTGTGAGGAGAGTAAAATCTGGCGTCTACCTTGGGGAGGTGGGGCTTATAATTTTAAACTTGTCCTAAAGGATGAGTGTTCAAAGAGCCAGAGTGACTACAAGTAGGACAGATGTCTGCCACAAAGTTTGCTTCCATTTGAGAAAATGAGGCACAACCAGGGTTGTTTGTTGGGATTTCTTAGGTAGAATCTTCCTCATTCTTCAGACAGACACAAGAAGAGACTCTTTCCCTCTGAACATTGTGATGTGTTGGTATGGAGTTTGCAGTGCAAGAAATCATTTTGGTATGAGGGAAGCCAGCCTGCAAATGAAGCCAAGACTCAGAGGAGGCAAGACACAAGAGAGGAACAGAGAAAGCACACAGCCACTGACCTCGGCTGATTTTGAAGCCCCCCAACCTCTGCATTTCCAGTTACATGAGCAAATGTGGCTTGGATTTTCTGTTGCTTGCAGTCAAAGGCATCCTGATGGATGTAGTAGTGATTACACGGAAAAAAAAACCTATTTGAAACATCAAAAGGCAAGGAAATCAGTGAAGACCTAGGTTCTAGTCCCATTTCTGCCTTGTGCTTCTTGGCCAAAGCACTTCATCTTTGAACGGCAGTTTTGCCTTCACATTGCTGTTGCAAAGTGAAATCAAGGATGGCCGATCCCAGTGTAGAGACTAGTCTAAGCACAAAGGATTATTATTCTTCCTCACAGGCTCTTGTAATCAAATGAGACGGGGGCAAAAACACGGTGATAAATGAACAAACAAACAGCTGTTTTCTCAAAGGCTTTCACAGTCCAGGTTCCCATTTGGCCCAAGTTTTCATGTTCTCTCTATACTTGGCAGCTGGGTGGGAGGTAGTGGGAGGTAGGAAAGAGAAGGAAACGCTGTGAAGTAGAATTAGGTCAAAGCTGATCACTAAACAGCATGCAGACTTGGGGAGTTTGCGTTCCCTCTTTTCTGTATTCTTTAAGACTCGCTAGGAGAACTCCAGGCTCTTGTTCAGGAGGGGAAGGAAGGAAACCAGACGTGCCAGATGTTTTACCTTTATTTTCTGATATTATCCCCACAGCAGCCCTTGGAGGCGGGGATGTTTGCCTCCGTTTTCAGATGGGAAAATGGTTCAAAGAGGTGAAGGCACCTGCTCTTGGCATGAACTTGAGCTTTGTCCCATCACATCCTAGATTGCATGCTGTTTTTAGTATCCCTTTAGTCACTCCCAGCAAAACATAAAAACACACTCTATGTGGCATCTGGGCTCTGAAGATTTAACCTGAAGCTTAATGAAGGGTGAGGGAAGCACTGTTTCCCCAGGTTAACTTCAAATGCTCTTCCTCCCTGAGGGAGGCGCCTGTGATTATATGTGCAAATTCTGAGGATATCTTTGAAGGACACTCAAGAACTGGTCAACATGGGCGACTTGAGGGTGGCAGGGAAGGGGACCCAGTCTCTGGGGGATGGGGAAGAGAGAGGCTCTAATTTTTCACCATTGGCCTTTTCTTGATGAACATTGTCCTATGTGCATACACTACCTATTCAGAAAGTAAATTAAATGATTTTTGATGTTTTGGTCTTGGTCTGCTTCTTTCCAACGGCAACCTGATGTAGCCGCTCTTTCATGTTTCTGCATTTGTAAAACAGGAATAAAAATGTCTGCCTCTCAGGCCTGCTCAGAAAACTAGATCATAAAATGCACAGGGAAGGGTTTGGCACTGAGTAAATGCTCAGTAAATGGAGACCATTTCTAGAAACTGCAAAGCTCTAGCCATAGGAAAACTACAATGAATAGGTCATTACTGCTTGTTGTCCAGGGCATTTATACAAATAATGTTAGAATATTTAAATTTTCAACCTGTACTACCTCTTGGGCCTAAAATAGTTTGGCGAGTCCACCACAAGAATCAGCCATATGTTACAGGAAAGAACAAAGATGTGGAGTGGGACAGATCTGACTTCTGAACCAAAGGCTGTGCAACCCTGAGCAAGGCACCCAAGCTCTCTGAGCTTCAGGTCCCTTGTAGCCCCGGGATGATGAGCTCCTCATGGGTGGTCTTTGTTCCTCATCAGATTCCCAACTCCCAAACCAGATCTGACTCCGTGACACAGTAGCTGGAATTCTTTGGGGGAACATAGGGAAGAAGACACAGATCTCACAGCACACAATAGACACTAAATCAAATTCTCCATCAGACGTCTTTTTTCCCCACCTTCCCTCCCAAATTCCTTTCCCTGCCAATCATTTTCTTGCTCTCTCCTTTCACCTCTATAACTTCTTTTTTTTTTTTCAATTTTTCAATTTTAATTTGTTTAGTTATTTATTACTGAAGTATAGTCAGTTTACAATATGTCCATTTCTGGTGTACAGCACAATGTTTCAGTCATACATATACATACATATATTTACAACTTCTTAAAACTCCCTCTGTTGTTGGGAGCAGTTCATCTCTACCCTCAGTGAGTGTGCCCCACTCAGCAAAAAAAGGCCAAGCAGAAGCCACCTGTCCAGCATGTGTCTCTTTGGAGAGGGGATGGGAGCAGCCTCAGTCCATCCACCGTGTATAATTGGGGGATAATTACACTTCCCTTGCAAGGCTGTTGGGAGGATGAGCAGAGCTGGAATTCAAGTCCACGCTTTCTGACCTCAAGTTCAATATCCCTTCCCACCACTGTCTCAATTCAAGGTAACGAAATATTACAGAATCTTGATTACTAGAAACTCACCTAGCTTGAACCCTCAGTTTAACTGCATTTTGTTGTTGTTGTTGTTGTTGTACATTCAACATTCAGAAGAAACAAAGAACTAGTCAGGGATGTGAAAATAAAAATTCAATTTCTAGGATAAGTGCTGGAGTCATTATGATTTTTATGCCAGCATCTTACTTGCTGTCTATCTGTGATCCCAACCAGGGAGACTTGAATTTAGAGTGATGATCCCTGAGGCAGAGGGACATCCTCCATTGTCAAAGAGCCATCTTATTGTGTTCACTGACCTCTGCTAGGCAAGAATATGGACTGAAATGTTTCAAAACTCATCTGCAAGACTTGAGCTGGGATGAGGTTTTCTCCCAGTCTGACTTCTCACTTCAGAAGCCTTCTAGCAAGTTGAGATTTCACTGTGTAAGACCTCTCAGGAAGGGAAGGGGACCAAGGTGACCAAGTCATTCCAGAGGCTTGGCAGAGGCAAGCTGGCTGAGGCAGTCAGCAGTGCGGCCGGGAGTGAAGTGTGTGTACATTTCCCAGGGCTGCTGGCACACAGTACCGCAAGCTCGGTGACATCAAACCACAGAAATTTATCCTCTGAGTTCTAGAGTCTGGAAGTCCAAAATCAAGTGTCAGCAGGGCCATGCTTCCTCTGAAGGCTCTAGGGAGGATCCTTCCTTGTCTCTTCTGAGCTTCTGGTGTTGCTGGCGGTCCTTGGCGCACCTTGGCTGGCAGGCGCCATCACTCCAGTCTCTGCCTCTGACAGCACATGATAGTCTCCCTGTGCGTCTCTGTGACTTCTTCTCATAAGGACACCGGTCACTGGATCAGGCCCATCCAGTCCAGAATGACTGTCTTAACTAATCACATGTGCAAGGACCCTATTTTCAAGTAAGGTCACATTCCCAAGTCCTGGGAGTTAGGACTTCAGCTTGTCTTTTGGAGGGACACAGCTCAACCCGCAACAGAGCACTCTCCTATCTTCCAAGTTTGTCAGCAAAGGTATCTGCTGAAATGATGCAAAAGCTGGGACATGACGAAAAGTGACTGAAGGGAGGAGGCTGGTGGGGGGTGAACCTGTAGGCAACAACTCCCACGTTTCCAAAAGTGGGACAGGGAGGCCTTGGGTGCCAGCTCAGTCCCTAGTCTCCTCCCCCAGCCCTAGGGCAAGCACCATTTCAGAACATCTGAAGTACAGGGGACTTTACTGGTCCTAACCTGACCCATAACTTCAAAATTAATGCGGGAAAATTGGCTCATTCATCATTTAGAAGGTACAGTTGCACATGATGGTTCACATCCCCTTCCAAGGCGGATGTGTGTGTAATTCATTCCAGTTTTTAAGAGACATCTCCCAGAATTCTGCACAGATTTATCGTCAGACAATAGTTCCGAACCTGCATATGATGCTGACTCAGGCCTGGCAGGGAGAGTTGCCATAGGCACTGAGCTCTGGCATCGATCTGTGACTACCCAGCGGGAGAACCCCAGGGGTGGAAGCCCACAGGCCTGACTGCCCTCTTAGATTAATATTTAACAGAATGGCCACCCCCACCCAGCCTGCCAGCCCCAATCAGTGCCACAAGCCAATGCGCAAGTTTTGCTGTGCCCAAGGGCAGTGAGGAAGACTTGGCAAAATTTTAATTAACTGAAGATAAATAAACGTACAGAGGGAGCATGAGTCCATTAGCTGGCACTACCACCCAGAGAGGAAAGGCCTCACTAATCACATGTCAC